TGCCAGACATAGTTGGGCTGAAATGCATCAGGGGTAAAAATGTCCCAGGATTGATGCACCATTCCTCAGGAAGAAACTATAAATGGGAAGGAGAAGAAAAGAATTGTCTTCTTGCAGATTGTCATTGCCACCCCAGGAAGACTGATTGATGTGCTTGAGAACCGTTACCTCGTCCTGAGCCGCTGCACCTACGTAGTCCTGGATGAAGCCGACAGGATGATTGACATGGGCTTCGAGCCAGATGTGCAGAAGATCCTTGAGCACATGCCTGTCAGCAACCAGAAGCCAGATACAGATGAGGCTGAGGATCCAGAGAAGATGTTGGCAAACTTTGAGTCAGGCAAGCATAAGTACCGCCAGGTAAGACTGGATCTCTGGACGAGGCTCAGGGGGTTTGGGCATGCTCCAACAACCTGCTCATCCTGAGGGTACTTTTTTTGCCCAAGTTGGTGGCAGAGAAGACTGTTAACCAGGCATGATACTGTGGCACTGAGGATATGATTAGGCAGTGGCTTTGGAGGCTAAGGCATTTAACCCAGACCTTTAAAGAGTTCTTTAGTGTCTAACAAGTATGACTCCATTGTTACCATTACCCTGAAAGTCAAGAGCCCATGAGAGCTCTCCACTCTTTAAATGACATTATGGTTTTCCTTGTTTTTTTTTTTCAGCATTTTAAGGCATAAATTTCATTTTAAAGCTAATATTCATACATAGCACCTTAGGTCCTGCAGCCTAGGTTAAACTGTCAGGTGGGAGTGAAAGGATATAAAGGATTGAGATGGTAGTCTTTTTTTCCTACAGACAGTCATGTTTACAGCCACCATGCCTCCAGCAGTGGAACGTCTGGCCCGCAGCTACCTGCGGCGTCCGGCTGTGGTGTACATTGGCTCTGCAGGCAAGCCCCATGAACGTGTGGAGCAGAAGGTGTTCCTCATGTCAGAGTCAGAGAAAAGGTACAAAGGGCAGTCTGACTAGGGTAAGATGGGGTGGGAAGGGTCTCTAAGATACCTCTCATCTGAATCGGGGCATAGATAACCAGAGCTGGTTTGGGAGTGAAGTGTTGATTAGAGACAGAGTGAGGAGGGGACTAGGATGATAGATTTTAAGACTCAGAGTGGTAAATTGGGGTTGCTTACTCTGCTCTGCTATTTTTCCTTTGCCAGCTAGTAGTGCCAGGCAGCCTTGGGAGCCTACATTGGGGTAAAGTAGGTCTTTCCATTGCAGGCCCCTTTCCTGTGGTTCTGGGTGTCCAGTCAGTGGGTTGGAGAGCTCATTTGCAGGATCCTGCCTTTTACTCATCTTTCTCTTAATCCAGGAAAAAACTCTTAGCAATATTGGAGCAAGGCTTTGACCCACCCATCATCATCTTCGTCAACCAAAAGAAGGGCTGCGATGTGCTTGCCAAGTCCCTAGAGAAGATGGGGGTGAGTGTTGGGGGAAGAAAGAAACCTAGACTGATGGGCACTGGCCACAAACTATGGGATTCCTTTCTAACCCTTTTCTGTCCCTTTTTCAGGATCCTAGAAGCCAAGGACAGTATGATGGGAATGATCTCAGGGTCAGGGAGAGCCACGTCAGCCTAGCAGGGACAACCGCAGCAGTCTGTGGTTGAGTCCTCTTCAGATTTAATGGGGCTAGGAAAGATTCTTCACTGCTTCTGTCAGGGGTCTGGGAATGCAAAGTAAAGTGGGCCTCTAAAAAGCCCAGAGTTGGGGATGAGGTCAAGTCCTACAGTCCAGGCTCCTTCTCTCTAGTGGTGGTGATTGAGTGTATTCCTTCCACTGCACTCTCACCCTTCACCAACTCAGTCCTGTATATGTCCCTCTTCTTCCCATCCCCTGTCCTGCCTGATCTCTTCATTCTCCCCTCTGCTTTTCTTCCCATATTTACCCCATCCGACCCTCCCACTCTTCATCTTCTCCTTTACCCATTCTGATTTCACTTCTCTCAGTCATTCTTTCTCATAGTGCCTCCCGCCTCGGGTACTGAAGTATTCGCTTCAGTTCTGCTGCACTCTCCTCCGAATCAGGGTCTCTTTTCTCAGTCCCTTCAGCAATGCTTCTGTCCTTTTCTGAATGAAGTACTCTCTCCTGACCTTCTTCCTCTCTCCACAGTACAATGCTTGCACACTGCATGGTGGGAAGGGGCAAGAGCAGCGTGAATTTGCACTCTCCAATCTCAAAGCTGGTGCAAAGGACATATTGGTGGCCACAGATGTGGCTGGTCGTGGTATTGATATTCAGGACGTATCTATGGTTGTCAACTATGACATGGCCAAAAATATCGAAGGTAAGAAGGAAATTAAGTTGCCTCAATCCAGAGTGTGCCGTGACAATCTCTCAAGCCTGTCATTCCCATTTGGCCACTGCTTTCACGTCTAGCACTCAGTATCAAAAGGTGCTACCTCCAGGAAATCCTTCTCTCCAGCGTTTTCAGCTAAGAGCCACGTTTGTCCCTCATCTTGGGAAGATCTTCAGCTCTTTCTCCTACCTTATCTTGCTTTCACATCCCAGTGATCTGGACCCCTGTCCTTTGGGGGAAAAAATAATGCCCCTAGGATGTTGGGGGAAAGAGTGGGGCAAAGGTAGTGGGATGTGGAAACAAGTCCTGAAGTTCTAAATTGTGGCTCCTGGGACAGTCCCAGCCAAACAGTCTCAGGAAAATGAAGTGCCCTGGAGGACAAGGAGTAGCAACTCCAGATGCAGGAAGAACAGCAGGGTAGAGTTTCCAGATCCCACTTAGCCAGGAGATAAATTATTAATGAAATGGACTTGTACCTAATTATAACCTTCTCTCCAACTCTGCAGATTATATTCACCGTATTGGACGTACAGGGAGAGCAGGCAAGAGTGGTGTAGCTATCACCTTTCTCACCAAGGAGGACTCTGCTGTTTTCTATGAGCTGAAGCAGGCCATACTAGAAAGCCCTGTGTCATCCTGTCCCCCAGAGCTGGCCAACCACCCCGACGCTCAGCACAAGCCAGGCACCATCCTCACCAAGAAACGTCGGGAGGAGACCATCTTTGCCTGACTCCGCAGCCCTTTCCCCGGGAGATGCTCTGTGGCTTCCTGCTGCTGCTTCTTTTGGCTTCCCGCTGGGTGATGGAGGCTGACGGGAGCATTTAAGACCATCCTGCCTAATCCCACGGACAGGTCCCGATGCCCGTGATTAGGGCTGTAAGGGGAGATGACGGGTGGGGGTTAGAGTAGTAGTGAAGTAAACAGCTGCAAACTCTGGCCTCACCATGCCCATCTGTGGGCTCTCCTAGGATAGTAGAGACTTCCCTCTGGCTCTTGGTTGGGCATTGGGTTGGCATTTTCCTCTAGACTGAAGAGGCCCCTTGGTGCCTAGATGGAACCTTCTTTGGCACAGTCTTCTGATTGCACTAAGCCACAGCAGCGTTGCCTGGAGTGATCTGGGGGTACTGATACCATGAAGGCTCTTTGACATTGGCAGCTTTTCTTCATGGTCACCTTGATCACCTTTTCCCATTTGGCTTATAAAGCAAGTCAGGAGCATTTGACCTGTGTATAGCTGCTGTGCCAGGGAGAAAATGTTCTGCATACTCAGGCCACTTCTGGCCCAAGGGGAATATTTTTTTTTAAACAGATATTGTGGGGTCAGAGTAGGACTGCTGTCTGAATCTCAATTACTAGCTGTGAACAGTTCTGTTTTCTATTCTCTGAGATGAAAATTTGTATGTTCTGGGAATAAATATATAAACATTATGTATGTGTTTAGTCAGTCCTGGGTCCTGGCTCACCTCCTAGACATTGCCTGAGATTTTGAAGACAGAAACAAAAGAAAAACCTAGTTTCTAGATATATGTGGGAATAGTATGGGAGAGCAGGGCTCATTTTTACTAAATTCATTTGGAGTCAGTGCAGATCCAAAAGGGCATTGGAAGGGTTGGAAAAAGGAACTGACATTGGAACCCAGAGAAGACGTGCACCAGACAGACTTAGGAGCATTCTATGTTTGTATGGGGGTGCTTTTGTGAGATAAACAGCAGGATGGCAATGATGTCCTGCCCTTATTTCCATGAATACATTGAATATCCTGCAGGGAGTTTTGAGGTAAAAGGGCAGCCAGCTTGTTGGTGTGTTTTTGAAATGTGGGGATGGTTGATACCTCAGGTAAGAGCACAGTTGTGTCCAACACTGTGTCCTTTTAGCCTCAGGTCCTTTGTGGTTATCTGGAGTTCACTGCCCACAGGAAAAGATCAGGGAAGCAGGGCCAGGACTGCTTTTCCTGGGCCATGGTGAATTCCACATGCTTAGAACCAGACCTGTGCCAGTGCCAGCAGCTCAAGGTAAAAACCAGTAAGATAGTTTATAACTGGGAACCTAAGCTAAAGACTTAGTACCACACTCCCTCCCATGATAGCTGCCATTCACTCACTGTTACTAACGTACCTTTGCCCATCAGAAGGGGCTAGACATATTCTAGGAGGAAATGGAGTCATGACTAAAGGAATACTTGATGTATCTAGTCACAGAATCTCAGTGCTAAATTGGCTTTGAAAATTTTTTAACCCAACTACCACATTTTGAGGCCCAAACAGATGAAATGATTTGCTTCTGAGTTACCAATATTGTTAAGGGAAGAATCCTGGCCCATTACACTTTCCATTATGCTGCTCATAATCTAAGTTACAAAAGGATTGTGAGTTTAGAGGTGGAAGGGGACCTGGCTGTCTATGGCCTGGGGATCCTGAGTCCCTGAAGAAAAGAAATTAGGAAACATGAGACCTAGACCAAACCCCGCCTCCTTTCTTCCTCATTCCCTTACGTTCTGCTGAATATTTCTTCCTCTAAGTTCTTGGATATAGCAGTCGGCGGACAACGTAAACCTCATTTCTCTCCTCTTTGTCCACTAACTCGGTGGGTTCTTTAGGGAAAACTAGATAATTTCTTCATTCCACTCCAGACATCAGTCAGCCAGTATGACATTCATACTCAATACAAAAGACATTGACCCTGGGAAGGATGGGGTGGGGTGCAGTGGGGCAGTACATGATATTTATTGGTGATGACAGCGGGGTGGAGGTCATGGCCACGTGGGGCTTGGGCTCAGCTACACAGTCATATGGGAGGGATGCAGTTAGGTTGTCCAGAAGCCAGAAGAGACTCCCCACCTCTGCTCCTTTTCTCTCCTCTGGCCTAACTGTAACTTAAATAGTTGTGTATATGAGGCAGGAAGAAAAATTTGGGGTCCATGGCCCCCATTGGTCATGACAGGATAGAGAAGGAATTAAAGGAAAAAGGAGCAGATGAGGGGCCCCAGGAGTGTTCAATATTCTCAATGCTGCTACTTCCCTACTAATTCCTTTTTGACTTCTGTACCCTTGCTTCTCCTTCCCCTCAGACCCCAGTTTTGAAGGGTAAACACTCAGGTCAGAAGAATCCTAGAAGATGTGAGCGCCCACCTGTCTCCTGTTCTTGACTTTATTCCACCCTACGATCTCCAAGTGGTCCCTTTCTCTCTCCCCAACATAGTTTGGTGATTGCTCTTGTCATCTCCACTCCTATCCCATCCTCCACACCTTGACCACTGAATGGATGAATAGAAGCGAAATTCAGGTGTGGAAATGGGGTGATTGTCTCATTTCTTGTGTGTGATTTCAGGGCTAGAGGGGTCCTATAAGGACCCCAAAGTCTGAATCCCTTGGCCGATGGAGCAATAGGACCCTTACTCTACTGGACCTTGGCACTGTCCCTTGCCATGACCCCTTCTCATCTCCCAGTCACCTTTGGGGGGACATCCCTTTCCTGAGTCTGGAAGAAATGGAAGGCCATTTCTACAGGAATCTTGGACTTAAGGGTGCTGCCCAGTGAGGACAGCTTCTTGTGCGGGAGAGAAGACAAAGGTGCCAGGGGTATAAAACTGTATACAGCTAGTACTTGGAAAGTGGAGAGCATGGGGGTCCCTAGCCCAGAAGGTAAAAGGGCCACCTATAGCTCTTGGAATATTGGGGTCCAGAGCTGGGCAAGGGGACCTAGGGGGCTAAGCCTAGTGCCAGCCTAATGCTAGCTTAACTCCAACCTGCCGGTAAGCTCGTGCACTGCTATTCCCCATTTCCTGCTCCGCTCCCTTGGACGGACCAGGGCAGGGCACGAGGGAGGAGTTCAGTAGCTGTCCTTAGGCCAAGGCCGGTTGCGTTGCCAGTTCCTTTCATTGTAATTATGCTCCGAGTTCCGGGCCAGGAGCCGGTCTTGAGGGTCCTGTCCATTGGCACTGGGTAGCCCTGATGTGTGTTGACGATGTGGCTGGTACAGATCTTGATAGACGTCGGTGTACTCGTCCTCTAGATGGTGAGAACTTCGCTGAGAAGATCCAGTCCACGCTTGGTGTGAGCTCTCACTGGCCTCATCTGAAGGCATCAGGCTGTCCCGCTCCAGGGGTGAGCACTCTCCTCCTCGCTCCCCCAGCAGCTGCTGGTTCTGGGCATGACATCAAGGCAAAATCAAAACTGACTTCCCTCTCATCCTTTCCCCAACCACATTCTAGGCAGGCAGAGCTTGAGATGGGGAGGAAAGAGGAACTAGAATGAGTCTCTTCCTGACCACACTTAAGGTGATTTGCTTCCTCAGAAATGGGGGACTGGAATTTAACCACACTTTTCCCAATCATCTCTATGGCACTGCACCCAAGTCGGAAAGGAGATGAGTGCTGTGTTTTCCTCTCCTCCCAGGTATACACAGGTCGAATTCTCTTGACTTTCCTCTTTTCCACCTATATCGCAGTTTGCCTTCCCTGCCCATCAACCCTTCATCCTGTCTTGTTTCAGTTCTTCCCACTAATAGAAACTATCGGCTAAACCAACTCATTGTCCCTTACTCCCCAGAGACTTGAAGACTAGTATGTCTGTCTTGACAACAGTTTAGAAAGGAAATAGTAACTAAGGTACTTGGTCTGAGGGCAGTCTGGTCACCTGAAGGTCAGAGATGGCACTGGGTGGGCCCAGCAGGCCGGGCCCTGGGGCTGGGTAGTGAGTAGCTCTCCAGTACACTTCCAAGTACTCAGCCAGGTGCTCACAGGCATCTTCCAGCTGGTTTTCATCCAGGATCACATCAAAAGATTCCTTGGAGATGGGGGCAGGAGGGAGAGGAAGGGAGCAAGCATGAGACATCACAGATCAAGTTGGAAGGGGTCTCAGAGGTCATCTAATCCAACTCCAGCATTTTACAGATGAAGAAACTCAGGCCCAGAGGGGTTAAGCATCTTGCCTAAGGTTACATATGAAGATCCAAGCTGCTGCTTCCATACTGCCCACAATCCACCCCAACCAGACCCTAAAAAGTAAAGTTGGAGCAGAGTTAATGCACTCACTGGTGGGCACTGTACCAGCTTGTCATATGCCATCATCTGAACATTCACGTGTTTCATCTGTGACTTTCCCCGGGAGCGGATCAGACGATGAAGCACCTAGGGGACGAATCAAGGGCACAGTGTCTCTCGGGACGGGTCATGAGTCAAATTGGGCATGATGTCATTTGAGGAAATGAGGGAGGTTCTGGGTATGCTGTCTTCAGGGACATGAGTGGAGCTGGGTATGGTGACTATGAAAGATATAAGGGAAAATAAGCCCAGCTGCCAGTGGGCAGGAAGAGAGCACAAACATGCTTCAGACACCAAGTTAAGCAGGCTCATCCCTGGTAGGTTTGGGGGACCCAGATTGGCACCATCCCCATCCCCCTTGCACCTCCCTGCTGACCTTGGGTGAGGACACTTTGACATATACGATGATGGGGGCCAGAGAGGTCTTAGCCAGCTGGGCAGGGTGGTTGATGGTGTCGGCATCCAGCACTACCAGCTGCAGAGACTTGGCCAACTCGAAGATCCGCTCGATCTCACTCTGCACCTCAGCTGTGGGGGGAGTGGTCAGCAGGTTCCCCCCACCCCCAGAGGGGGAAACTCCAGGACTTTGGGAGGTTTCCAAGAGTCTACCTTCCCCCACACTGCCTTGTGACCATAAATGTTTTAGATTGTAAATTCCTTGAGGGCAGTGGCTATCTAATGCGAATCTCCAGTACCTAGCCCAGTTCCATATACTCGTAAGGCTTAAATATTTGTTGGGTCGAAGAGTTTCTTAAAAACATTCTGTTTCAGCTTTCTGTAGGACTGAGAGTGGGAATGAGAGTACCTTGGTAGGAATGGGTGATGGGATGGCATTGTAGCATGGGTGGAGCAGCAATGGGATGTGATGAGGTTGAGAGCAAATGGAGGGGGTAGAGGGAATAAGGCATCTGGGAACTAGGAGGAGCTTTACGTGAACTGGGAAGGGTTCTCACCAATGCTGGATCGGGCTGTAGAGCGTTCAATTATAGTTCTTTTGCCTGGGTTGTTGAGCACCGATCTCTTTGCCAGAGAGAGGTCAGCTGTGACTCGAGTAATGGAGATCCTGGAGAGTAGAAGAAATGGAATGGAGGGTCACTACTGGACTATAAAGCCAAGAGAGCTCGACTCCTAATGCCTCTCCAAGTTTAGCCACTAATTACCCCCTCAAAAATTACTGCATTGCAGGCACAGTGGATTAGGGAGTGTGACTCCACTCTATATGGCAGGTGAGACTCACCTGCCATCAAATCGATGCTTGAGAAAGTCGAAGAGTGCCTTCTGCATCATGTCTGTGACCTGATGGGTTAGGGTATGGAAACACTTAGATTGATTGGATATAAAAGCCCTGTAGAAAGAGACAGCATGCTCCATCCTCCATAACATGGTCCCTCACTCCCATATATCCATTATTCCACTGGGTAGGGGATCAGATCTCCTTGTTGCCTTTGGCATTCTCTGAGATCTTGCCATGGGATCCATGCCCTGGACAGTGGATGTCTCCAAGGGGCTTGGGGCACATAGTCAAGATGGGGAGTTGGACTGACAGACCACTGCCCTACTTACCTCATAGCCTTTCAAGGAAGGCCCCACAAGCACCACAGGTCGCATGGAGGGTACCACATCATATGGGGGCACATGTTCTGCCTGAAGAGGGCAGAGAACATCACAGCCACATGAGGTCCCATCATTCATTAAAGGACACTTCTCCTCCCTAATGCACTACGTATGACTATTCATTGGATATGGGTAGGATAAATAGGGTTGAGGGTAGCAGCAGGGAGGTATTGGAGGGCAAGCAGAAAATCAGGATGCCTTGATCCTTCCAGACCTCTTGTCCTCAGTTTCCTTCCTTGCTCTGCTTCATTTCCTAAAATTAGAGGTCCTAGAGTTGTAGAAAGTGTATAAGATGGAAAGGTAGGGGGAGAGAGGTGAAGGTAGGGACTTGCCCTACCATGTGGAAAGTGAGGAAGGGTTTCCTCTTCAAGCTCTGCCCTAAGTTCTCAGCTATATTCTCACTATCCTCCCCTCCTGAGAGCTCCTAGATTACCCTCCCCACAAAATTTCTCCTGGATTGGGCAGCTGACTCAATTTCCACTTCCTTTGTTCTGGCTTAGAGGAGAAGAGGGGTACTGGGGAGCCTGGTGGGGGGAAATTCTAACAGTTCCCCATAAATTCTGAGCCTCCCTAGCCCATGACCCCATCCTTGCACTCACCTGCTTTTGCTTCTGTTTGGCTTTTTGGAAAAGGAAATAAGAGACTGAGGTTGGTGAGGGGGGAGGGAGCCCTGGGAGAGACATGGTGGCCCCTGTCTTCCCCATACCCACACCCACACCCACACTAGTCAATGGGGTGAGGGTGGCCCCAACTTGTGGGAGAGGTGCCAGCTTCCCCCAGTACTATACCTTTCCCTCCCCTCACCCTCTTCCCGATCAGCCATTATGAGAAGATCTCTCCCTCCCGCCTTGGACCCTTTATCCACCTGAAATGGGAAGGGAGGAGATTACCTAGAGATGGGGGAGGGGAACGGCGGTTGCCGATGTCACCAGACGGGTTCCCAGATCTCCTGAAGTTAGACCCGGATTAGAAGAGTGGAGTGGGGAGGAGGGTTGAATAGAGAGAAGAGAAATGTAGACTGTAAGTGGCTCCTGCTTTTCAGTATACTTAGCTCTCCCAATATTAATGCCTGTCCCATACCTCGCCTTCTGTTCTTGCTTGAGACGTATGGTTTCCAGATGCTGAGGGCTGGGGATGAAGGCAATATCCCCACCCTCCTTCACTAGCCTCCCAATCCACCAGTCATTGTTGTATTTCTAGAAACAGATAAGGAAGGCAGTTCAGGAATTTGGAAAAAGGTGCAGGAGAAGAGGCAATTACTTCCTCATTTCTTCTCCACAGTTTTAGATCCTAAGTTTGGAGCCAGAGAATAGGTCAGTGATTTGGCCTGGGTGGAAGGCAAGAAGGGAATGTAATAATAATAGCTAGCATTTATAAAGCATTTTAAGATTTGAAAAACTCTTTACATATTATATCTCATTTGATCTTGAGCAGAATTTGAACTTATGTCTTCCTGCCACCACATTCCTAGCTTACTCCCCTGAGCCACCTAGCAGCCTCCAGAGGAAAATGAGGGTCTAGGGGATTTGCTCAGAACCTTGACCCCTTCTCATCCCAACAGGGTGTTAGGGGTTCTTCCACCTCATCCCTGACTCACCCCCCAAAGATGGGGAAGGAACTGAGGGGTGTTCTCCATAAGTTTCCATGAGACCCCTAGGAAGAGGGAAGTGAAAGAAGAGAAATTAAGGGGAGGAGGCAAGGAGAATAGTAAGAGTTGGTGAGGTTGGGGACCTAGTCTTTGGGGATTGGAGAGTTAGGGTCCTAATGTTCAGATGGTAATTTGAAAGTTCATAGGGGCTGGAATCTCAGTGGGAGACCTAGGAAATTCAGGAGACTGGGAACAGGACAAAGTTCACCTCTTTGATATGCAGGAAATCTCTGGCTTCAAAGTTGACGCCTGAGCCCTGGACAGGGCACTCCTCATCCAGCACCCCACAGTAACTGACATTGGTCCTCACAGCAAATGCCACTGGTTTGTGCTAAGAGAAGGATTAGCAAAGAATACAGATGAGAAGAAGGGCAAGGAACTCCTCGGTTTCTGAGTTTTCCTCCTTCCCTAACTCGTGGTACTCTAAGAGTAAAAGTAAGATGGATGGGGAAGGCCAAAGAATCAGGAGTGACAGGACAGGTGGACATACTGGATACCTTGGCTCTCTCCAGCTGCTGCTGAGCCTGGCTCTCCACCTCTCGACAGGCACTCTCCCTGTCCTCCTCCAGGGAGGGGTATGAGTCCAAAGAAGGTCGGCTAGTATAGGAATCTGCTGAACCCTAGGTGGAGAGAGAGGCAGTGATCCCAGGGTTGAGCACTACCAGAGAGGATACATCCTATATAAAGGCGGTATGGAGACTGCAAAAGCCAGGAGAGTACCCTGAAATTGTTATAATACTCTCCCTCTCACCTCTTCCATGGGGAAGGAGGAGGAGGGAGAATTGCCAGAATTCTATTGTCCTCACACTATCACATGACCTCATAGCTGGAGCATCAAGTTATAGAAGCTGGTCAAAAAGCCACCAAAAGCTGTGTTTGCCAGGATCTACTCTGTCCATCCCCCACCACACTTGGACTTGAACTGCTAAGCTAACTTATTAGTACTATCTTTATATAATACCTGCTATACTTCCTTTTTTCCCTCTCTTCCCTGCTTCATCCTGTCTTTCATGGCAAACAGAGGAAACCCCAGACACAGGGTTAACACCCAGGAATCCTGTCCCTCTCCTAAAGGATCCGATTGAATAGTGCCCTTTCAAGATACATGACAGTCATAGGGAGCTGGCTGAAGCACAACAACAACAAAATCAGATATGCATGGCACTGACCCTCTCTTGTCTACTTATACCCATCTTCTCCCTGGGCACTAAGATCCCACCCTCTTCAGTTCCTGCCTCCTCTCAGGTTGAAAAGGGAAATATGAGTGCCAACTTCTGGTAGTCACTTCCTGGTGCCTTCTCCTCCCGCATTTGTTAGGGCATCAGAGCTGGGTGCAGCTCCAGACTAAGCCAACACAAAGCTGTCTCCCTTGGCATCAGCTCCCAAGCACCTGTGAGGAAAGGCCCCACCTACCCACCTGACGTTCTTTGACCCACCCTCTTACCATCCCCACAAGATGCCAGGCTCTAGAGAGACCTATGCTGGTGCCAAGCAACTCAGGCAAGGAGAATTTGGGGAAGGTACAATTGAATTACTTGGATTCCATGATGTTCTAGATGCAGTGTATCCTTTCTCTAAAATCAAGGGTCCTTGAGTGTAAGGACAGTGAGTAGCAGATTGTTGAGTGTACAGGATTTTCTCTGGGGCTTAAGAAAGAAACAAGAAATAGAGAAGGGCAGATAACTGGACAAGGAATCTTCCTATCTTAGTTTCCCCCTCTATGAAGGGAGCCCCTCAGGATAAAAGTTTTGAACAGCTTTGTTCACAGCATTTAAAGTTGGACGGGACTTTATTCAAACCCCCACAAGATATAGATGAAGAAACTGAGACTCTGAGAAGCAAATAGCATGTGGTTACACTGATAACAAGCAGCAGAGCTATTACTTGGATTCAGACCTCTGACTCTAAAGTCAATGCTCTTTGCCTTACATGATGTCTCCATTTCACTGCATTGAATTGCTTCATTGTATCTAGAAGACAGGAAATCTTGAGTCTGATTCTGTTCAAGGGATGAAAAGTTTAGATGAGAGACAGTTTGCTAAGAGAATAGATGGAGGGGCATCAGATCAACTTCCTGGATATTCCTAGGCTTACAAACATAGCCTTAGGACTCCCGTGTACCTTTAAATCTAAGAAAACTTTTGACAGAGGGAGCCAAAGCTTCTTGATCGGGGATAGAGACCACCTAGGTATGAGAAGAAACCGCACCTGGGACACAAATCTGCCCTCCCACCATAGCTTTCCATTCCACATAAGGTCCAGTCTCCAGACGTCACATTCTTTAAAAAAAAAAAAAAAGGTGACCTGGAACCATGGGAAAAGGATGATGGAGACTTGATTTTGATGGAGTCTTTGATTTTACACAAAAGAGCAACCTACTCACTGTGCTCCACCTTCCCTGAGAGTAAAATAATAGAATGGAATTCCCATTTATTCATTCATACAATAAACATTTATTATACCCCTAGCAGTTAGATGTCTTCTTAGGTTTGAAGGTAGGCCTAATTCTGCTAAGGGTTGGACTATGGGAATGTCCCTCAGTCTTATGGCATTTAGAAGCATTTGGAGACTCCCTTCCACTACCACCCCAACCCTCAGTCACTGTTATATAAGCTGTCTCCTCTTTCTGCCCCCTGGGCAGAATCAGGAAGAATCATTTGGGTATCTGACCCACAAATGTTCATTCTTTATTAACTACTTACTTGAGAGTCAGCTTCATTATTTTCTTTCACCCACCCTCAAGTTTGAAGTGGTTTCTCTGTCTTTCATGGCACCTTATTTGTACCTCTTGTGGACACCTATCCTAACATTTGATTTCCTATAATATTTGCCTTTTATTCCTCTCTGAGAATGTAAACAGGGATGATCTAATATTTATTCTATGTCCCTCCTCCAGTATTCATGTTGGACATATTCTATGTCCCTCCTAATTCATGTTGGTATCACTCCTAGCACAGTGACATAGTAGGTAACGAGTTTAATATATGCTAGGATTTGGAGGAGGATTAGAGGATCTCAGTTTGTACCTTCAACCTCGCAAGTAATTTCCCGCATGAAAACTACATCCAAAACACATATCAACAATTCATCCACTCCCAGCCTCAACTTACCTACCTGTTCGGGGCATCGAGATTAAATTGTTCTCCTTCCTCCCTTGCCCCCACTTAAAGGTGGGAGATGAAGAATTGAATTAATTTATGTTGACTTAGTTTTAGGTTATAAATAGATGTCTCTAAACAGATGGGATCATGGATAAAGATCACAGACCCAGAATTGGAAGGGACCTCAGAGGTCTTCTAGTTCAATTAGAGATGAGGAAACTCAGGCAAAGAGAGTTTAAGTCACTTGTCCAGGGTCATTTAAGTAGTATCAGAGGTGCCATTTGAAGGCAGCTCTTCAAACTCCCAAGCTAGTACTTCTTCCTCTGTGTCACACACCAGAGGCAATATGGTATAGTAAAAAGAGTACTGGAATTGTAGTCAGTAGACCTTTGCTCCAAACCTGACTCTGCTGCTTACTAAGAACTTGACCTCAGGCAAATAATTTCACCTCTCTGGGCCTCAGTTCCTTCATCTGTAAAATGAGAGTGTCGGAGTAGATGTTTTCTAAGGTCTCATCTAGTTTAAATCTTATGATCTGCTCTTAGCGCACAGACCTAGCACCCTGCCATTACCTTGGAGAAGGCAAGGCTGTCCTGCCAAGCCAGACCCAGGAGACCCAAGTTCTTTCTTTCCCCTCACACAAGGCAGCCAGAGGCACAGTGCTGTGGAGCTGCTGGAAGTTGGCATGGTGCCCTGGTGGTGCCCCCCTTGCCTGGTGAGTGTGTGGGCAGGCTGCAGCACCGCTCTTGCCTGGCACAAGGAAAGGAAAGAAGGAAGATGAGCTTGTGGATTTATTTAGAGCCCGGATCTGCCTCCTACTGCTTCAGTGGGGACCCTGGAGAGAGGGAGGATTGAAGTAGGTTGAGGGCATTGGGGGAGGAGATGGTAGATCTAGGAATCAGAGTAGGGTAGAGAATGGGCATGGGGCCAGAATGGCCAAGATAAAGGCTTCTCCGCTTAACATCCCCATCAAGTTTTCTCCCTCCTTATTTTTATTCCTCTTTTCCCAGTGACATTTTTCTGCCACTTGCCTAAACTTTTCAAAGAAATCCTCTACTCATTCACCAGGGATAAGAAAGACCTGCCAGGTCCCTCTGGCCTCAAACATCCCTTCTCAGGCATAAGCTGACACCCTGGGTAGTGCCAGCTGCCCCTTCAACAAACAGTACAGATGAGACCCATAAAGCATGGGACAATGAGTCAGAATGCCAGACAATTAGCCCCCTGTGGTTCAGCCTAGAGCAAAGGGAACCCCCAACTGGGAGCATTGTGGGTACCACTTGTACTCTTAACTCCCTTATCAGGATGTACCACCTGAATCCCTCAGGCCACATCTAACCTAGGATTTGGTTAAGGTCAGGAATGGATGGGAGAAGGCTCGAAACTTGCTCCTTCAAAAACCTCTTTGACTAACACCCTAAATATCTGCTACCTTCACTTAGAATCATAGAGACATCTTTTGGGACATTCAGGAATTTCTCCATGGA